CTTCTTCAGTCTGCCTCTGAAGAAGAAAGGTCCACCTTTCGAAAGCTCTCGGGTTATAGGGTTTTTATTCATTTCTATTAAGACTTCTTGAACCTACGTGTTTTTCTAACATTATGAAGACCAATCTCTATACACGATTAAATAACACAACTTTACTGTATAAAAGCTAAGTGTCTAAGCCTAGTGAATGTATATGTACTGAAAAAGTAAGATAACTGTGGCACTTTTAAGAAAGTTTTATTTACACATTGATTATTAAAAATTCTACTGCCACCCTAGAATGCTCAATGACATAGCTTTTACAGATTATTCACTTTTTACAGTTGCATAAAATATAAAAATTATGGATTTCAATTACTTCAGTAAAACAATCAGTAGTATTTGGTTATTACTCTCAACTTCCACAATTTGTTTTAACTGAATATATGTTAACAGTTTAAACAAAAAGACAAAAGCAGGTATAAAGTAGTTTCCAAATGCTACACTTAGTCTTTTTACGGTTATTCAAAGAAGTAAAAACAGTATCACGTTTACTGTTGGTTGTTTTTATTAATTTCCCGATGAAAAATACTGGATTTTTTAATGTATTTACAGTCTTGAAATGGTCAAATATCTTAATATCAAGCTTATATATATATATATATATTATTTTTTTTTCGTGGTTGTAGTTGAGAATGTGGAAATGAGTTTAAAGTATGCAAAATTGTGTTTACAAAACACATGACCACAGATCTTTTATCCTCATTAATAATTCACACAAGATACACTTAATATCTGAAGCTATAGGTATAATAAAGTGGTACGCATAATTCCAACTACAACACATATTTATATTTTGTTCTGTATTATTCAATAATACTACAATACAATACGCTAAAATGCACAAAAATGAAAGCAACTAAAACAAAAAAGGTCAAACATAGTTATAGCAAATGAAGCAAAACTGGCTTATTTTGAAATAACAGTAAAATAAAGAAGATGCATGATCTTAGAAACGGTTAAAGGATATATCCGTGCATTTCTGAAAAATCAGACAGAGATTAGTGGTAAAAAACTAACTTTTAGTTGCACATGAAGGTATATATTCTTCAACAGTGCATATGAAAGGAAGCTGGTGAAATAAGCAGGTATATCTTGAATGTGATATTACAATTGAAACAGACATGCAAATAATGCTCTTAAAAAATAGGCCAAAAAAAAAAAACCAAGGTAAATTTGTGTTAGGAAAGAAAACTTTTACTTCTGATTTCCTCATACATACCATTGTTATCCACCTCTTGTGGAAGAGTGCTGTTAAGAGCAGTCTCGAACCCAAGAATTGGATTATAGTTGGCAAGCGAGCGCAACCCCTCCCCTAACCCGTTGTCTCCATTGAGAATATTGGAGGAGACCTCTGTGCCAGCATGTGCTGGAACAGGTAACAACATGGCGGATGATGACGGTGTAAAGGATGAGCTACCACTGAGTACGGGTGACAGGCTGTTTTCCTCATTGCTATCACTTGATAAAGTGGCTAACATGGCTTGCAAAGCGGACCTCGTGGGCCCTAAAGGATATGTTTAGTTAGAAAGTAAAAGAACTAGTGCAATTTAAATTAAAATAATGACATGCATGGGACAAAAAAAGTGCATTATCAACAACAGTAGCAAAACAAAACAGGCAAGCTGTGCAACTTAAGATCATAAAAGTTTACATACCTTTTACCGAATCAAAAACAACTTTCTCAATTTAAAATTAACTGACATTTTTGCAACTATAAATAAAGTAACTACAAGAACAGAAAACTTGTAAATACACAGAAATTCATAAAACCATTTCTATGGTTAGTTTGAAAAAATTTTGTAAGAATAAATATTAAAATGAAAAACAAATGCAATATACATACATTAATCTTTGTTAGTAAGTTTAAGTATTGTGAAACATTACTAATCTAATAATGATTAGTCTTTCCAGTCATTTCTATTGAATAAAACTTTAAAACAAATGGTAAAATTTTAAAAATTTAGAACAGAATCCTATTTCAGGTTAAAGCGTCTGGAAACAATGTGGTCATCATTGTATTTAAGTGTTTATTTCAATAATTTATCTTTTCATTGCTACAGAAGATTCATATTTATTTTTGAAAAAAAATGTTTTAATACATTGATGATCACAACAGTTCCTGATGCCATGTCCAGTCATGATGTATAAAACACAAAATGCTCCAAAAGGACAAGGAGTTTAAAGATGCTTAGCCATAAGCAGGAATTATTAAAAGCTAGCAGAGAAATTATAACTTTAAAATGATTAAATGCTCTGAAAGAACAAAGGAAAAAACAAAGGCAGAATTAATGTCATTAGTAGAAACAAAACTCCACCAGCCTGAATTGCCACAGCAACAACAATCCATGCTTTTCCTATTACTTCCCATTAATGTATTTTATGACAAAGGCACCCAAAGCAGAGGAGGTTAATGACTAAACACAGGCCAAACTCACTGCTGCTGTGTGAAGAATGCACCCCAAGCAAGGCCACTTACTCTGGGAGGTACCTTTCCTGTTCCTCTCCCTTCGAAATTCTTCCATCATTTTAGAGATGGCTTGGGGGTTTGTGCCCCATTCTTCCTTGCAGCTACCCTCTGACCTCTCTGTACACAGACCAACAATGTCACATAGTCAACCAAAACAAAGTGCAAGGAAAAGAAATTGAATACTGTTAAAATACGCACTTTTTTTTAAATGTGTGTATATTATAATGAATGCATACACTTATGGTTTCAGAACTGTTGAAAATGTTTTTTATTTTATTTTATAACTAGATCAGGGTTCTCTTAAATGTATCATGAACTTGTAAACTAGCATTCTAATTTCATTTTGACAGAATTTTATAGTTTTTACTGTGCATCTATGTTCTACAAGAGTGTATTTTTCCCATTTCTTTCTTATATTTACTTTAAATATCTGAGCTTATCCAGCAAAATCACTACTTGAAATTAAAGAAAAATACTGTGCGCTATGGAACAATATGAGCTTACAAATATATTACACACATCTCTTGTTGACAAATCGAGGTGTCCACTAACTCTGTACTAACAAATACATCAACTGAAGTTATACTACAATAGAAGAAACACCTGGCTGTACAACTGAAGTTATACTACAATAAAAGAAATGCCCATTTGTACCAACTGAAGATATACTACACTAAGAGAAATGCCTGGTTGTACCAACTGAAGATATACTACACTAAAAGAATTGCTCATTTGTACAAATGAAGTTATACTACACTAAAAGAAATGCCTGTTTGTACAACTGAAGGCATACTACACTTGAAGAAATTAACCATTTGTACAACTGAAGTTATACTACACAAGAAAAAATGCCACTTTATACAACTGAAGATATACTAAACTACGAGAAATGCCCCTTTGTACAACTGAACTTATATTACACTATGGGAAATGCCCCCCTTTTACATCTGAATTTATATTACACTAAAAAATGCCTTTTTGTTCAACTGAAGTTATACTACACTACAAGAAATGCTTGTTTGGATCAACTGGTGTGTTTGAAATTAAGTAACAATAAGTTGCTTGAAAATACCCGATATCAGTGAGTAGAAAATTTCTCCTTTTCTGACAAATTATATCTTGTACTAACACATATTTGAAACCAGAATTTTGATAACAGTATAACATTGTCACCTAACCTAAACAGGAATTCATTAATGAAGGAATAATTAAAATGCATACCATGCAGCAACAGACACACATACACAGGAATAGTACTAGTGTAATGCACATGCAACTAAACCATGCAAAGAAAAGATAGTTCAATATTTTTAAAATTATATATGGTAAGGCATGTGAAAGTATCGTATACATTAACCAATGTTCTCCAAGTATCAGGGAATACAGACTTATGAACCACTGAAACATTAATAAGTAACAGTGGAAATTAAGCTCCTATTAATTCTATAAGATACAATTTTAGTCACAGGATTCTTGAGGTAACATACTGTAAAATATGCATAATTAAAAAAGGAATGTAATATCATGCTGGTGAGAAAACATAGGGATAAAAAGAGTATACAAATCATAATCCAGTTCATGTGAACGATGAGTTAATTGAATTATCTAAAATAAATAATAATAATAAGTAATTGATGTTGAAATAAATAAGTGATAATATTTCATTAACAATTATCCTAATTTTGGTTAATTAAATAAAATTTATAAAAATTATGTTTCACCAACTTTATCTAGCTCACATCATAACAACTGTTATTCATGCAATTTGATAATATGAATAGCATCCCAACCACTACATATGAATCCTTGTAATGAGCAAAAAGGCCTCATTGGTACTGGATATGGCAGATAGTGTGGTTGGCATATTATTATACATTCTTCTTTGCTTTCACTCGTAGCTTCTTAGAATTACTAATGTAGTCTCAACCTTTTGACAGTATGGTTATCTGACCCTTGTTGAAACAAAAAGACTAGTTTGCTGGTTCAACCATTCTTCTGAATGATTAGTAGTTAATTTAAAAAAAAATAAAGATAAAGAAATAACGGGTGTTAAATGATAATGTGTATTAAATTTTACTCTAATTCTGATTTGTAAATGACTTAAAAATAAAAAAATAAAAATTACATTTCAACAAATTCGTCTAATTCACACAATAACAATTGTTGCTCTCGTACTTTGATTATATAAATCACAAACATTACTGTGTCCATTTTATCCGAGCTGGCTTGATGAGCTCTGGTATTGGCCAAAAGGCTTTGTAACCACTGGATACAGCAGATACTGTTTGGTTAACAAATTGTTACACATCTTTCTTTACATTCACTCACAAGTTCTTACAATATAATAAACCAAATATTAACCTAAATGCTTTTGAAAGTTACACCTTCCCCCTGAAATCATAGAGGTTATCACAATACTCTACTAAAAAAATGGACTATTTTTTATACCTTTAAATTATCAAAGAAATTGTTTCTCAATCTTATTTGATAAGTATTTAAATTCCCCAAAATTTTGTTTTCGTTCTCAGAATAGAAATGCTTAACCAAATGACATGAAATTTAGTACAAATTTATTAAATTATTATTATCTAGCTTTGGCTTTAAAAAATTGATATAATAATTTGACTTAGTATGTCTATAATTTGTTTAGGTTGCAAAATTTTTGAAATTCTATTGTGAGATACTTCTTGTCATGTCATAACTTAAGCCTATGTTATAATCGATCAGAAAGTTCCATTTTATACATCCAGTCATTTTCAACTTGATTTATATTCATTAACACATTTCTTTCAATACTTTATTTTCCAACTGCAGTAGAATCACTTCTAGCTATAAAGCATAAAAAAAGTAAGTAAAAAAAATGATAAAGACATGTTGGTGACTTATAACATCACCTTTCAAATGAGAATCACCATTACCTTTGTTAAGCTAGGTATTGTAATTTTTGCTTACAATATTCTTGGTCATAATAATTTATATCTTACAAATATCCTTTTTTTTTTCAATAAATAATATGTTCTCATATTTATGTTCATTGTTTGAATATGATAAACTTAACAATAATATTCAATAAATAATGATCCTAGTTGTTGGAATATTTTGCCATTGCCTACTGTACTCAATAAACCTAACTAATATTACTTGATATCCTTTCATAGAAGAAATGTCTTCAAACAGATATAATTGAACATAAAACAAAGAAACTATACACAAATTTCCAGATCTATGTTTTGTTCCTAAGTCTTCTGAAATTTCCATTAGATTTGTTTATTCACATCTACAAAAGCTGTAGATAGTTACATTCTGGAAAACTGTAAGTTTTATCTACTTTACGCTGACACAAACATTTTATAATCTGCTCTGTCCAATGGTATTTATATGTTGGGTATCGATGCTGTGCCAACCACGAGTATCGAAACCCAGTTTTCAGCAGACTTAATCCACTGTGGGGGGGGGGCAAAATCACATAAAAAAAACATGATATTTATATTATGTTTTCGTGGGATGATTTTATGTTGTTGTTTTTTAGCAAATATAAGGCTATATTTGAGATGGATAGAAACGTTTTAAAAAATAAATCAATAATTATTGTTTACAGACAAGACTCCTCAGAACAGCAGAAAAATGAAATTTGAAATTTTTCCCTTTTTCCTTTGCAAATTACACTAAATGTACATTACAAAATGAAAAAATATGAATTCTAAAATTCTAACTCAAAAATTGTCATTTTCACTTGAAGTTTTACATCTGATATTCAGGTATGCAATCAACACCTGAAAGGTGTTTACCAGACATGATAGGATTAACAAAGAAAATTTATAATGATTATAGAATTAAATTTACATTGTATCTCCTCCTCTCTTTGATCTCATGCATAACAATGCAATACAACCAAAAGAGTATTTCAAACAAAGCAGATACAATAACAACCGAGTAAACTATACTTATAGCATAATACTCCAATACAGATCTTCATAAATTAACTTTCACTCAAAAATTATATTTATTAAACAAGGATTGTTACAAGTATAGTCAAGTATCATATTGATAAATTTTAAACATTACCACTGCTTCAACTTTCTCATAATTATTATATCTCTTATTGAGTAATAGACATGATCTTGCATAACAGTGAAACTAATATATATTTTTTACATAAGATTATGACTTATTTATCGTACCATAAGCTCTTACTATTTGAAACATTTAATCATGAAATGATTTTATCATAAACTCATTACCTTTTTAATGCCAAATGTGTACATAAATAATTAGCTTATTCGACAGTTACTTTGAATTCTGCTAGCTGACTAGTAGATCAATTAAGTAGTCCGTGTGAGTATGTTTGTTATATGTTGTCAACTCACGTAAAGTTGACTCAGTGAGACTAGAATTAAAATTTAATACAATAAGTATAAACTTCATATTCTCATAGTTCCAACAACCTTTGAGAACTTAACCCTACTCCTACTGGGAACACTAGATGGTTAACGTCTTAGCTAAGACTAGTTGCCACATTAAAAAGTATGTACCGACTTTCATAAACAAATGTTAAAAAAAAACTCTAACAATCAATAAAACTTCAGAAATCTTAAGTTTTTTTCTTCTTCTTCTTTTCTAAGCAATATTTCTCATCATGGCTGTAATTTTTCATTACAAACAATGTTTCTGAAAGTTGTCATCTTAAGAAAATCTTTTGCCCTTTTTATTTGTTTCACTGAGTTTGACCATCACCAGATGCACTTTCTACACAAAATTCCAAACCTAACTGGTCAAGAAGATGTTAAATATAAAATAAACAACTGCATAGACCTATCAATTTAAAACACCAGAAACATTTCATATGTAACTAATATACTTCAAAGTTATTTAGAACATGAATCATGTTATCTAAAGAACTTCAATCCTTAAAATCCCTTTTACAAAATACTAATATCTTAACTTTAAAATAAAGAATCAATAAGCTGTGCTTATGATGGTATAAAAAAATACATTAGATGAAACGATTAGATTCAAACTCTACGACTTACCCCCCCACTCTACAATTTCCCCCTGACTCCTAGCTACTCCTGAACCATTGACAGAGTTTGGTCCCAAGAAACTGAATTCTGATAAAACTTCTTCAGTTTCTGCATCTTCCATCATCAAATCATCCATCCTAGGCGTTTTGTTGTTTGAGGGGATTACCTAGTTACAGATAATGACTCTGATATGTAACCAGCAATTTTGTACAAGATACACAGTAATAAAAATAACACAATCTCCTATCCAAACATTTAACTTGGTCTTTATGAATTGTGCTAGTTTACAGGTAACTTATGAGATTTTCTTATTTCTAGGAACAGACTGTAAAGTAACATGTTTTACTATATTTATAACAAACATATTGAATTTATAATATAGTAAGATTGTTGTTGAGGATTATCAAGTACTAAAACAAGAAAATTGGTCAGAAGGTAGGTTCAATGGTAAATATAGTAAGATTGTTGTTGAGGATTATCTTTTAATACTTCAAGAAAATTGGTCAGAAGGTAGGATCAGTGGTAAATATAGTAAGATTGTTGTTGAGGATTATCAA